AAAAAAAAAAAAAAAGACATCCTTGGAAACCCTCTGGGGCAATTCTACTCTGTCCCCTAGGGGCGCTGTGAGTTGGAATCCACTCCACGATGGTGGGTGTGGTTTAGGCTTTGCATCTGTAAAGATTGACAGCCTTGGAAACTCTCTGGGGCAATCTGTCCTCTAGGGGCGCTGTGAGTCGGAACTCACACCATGGCAGTGGGTTCCGTTTTGGTTTTAATATTCACAGGAGTAGATCTCCAGGTCTTTACACATTGGGTGAGTCCAAAATGCCGGGTTTTTGATTACCAGCTGAACACTTAACATTGTACCACCAGGGTTCCTTGCCGTAGCACGTGGCATACGTGTGCTCATCATGCTGTTTGGGACACGGATTTGGACCATCTCCATTGGACAGGGCTGCTTTCCGGCAGGGTTTTCAGACCGCGACTCTGGCCGCCCTGCCTGGCTCTACCTCAGGAACAATCTTTTGTAGTTCTAGGCTTTACGTGTGCTGCTGGGGCAGTCACCATTCAGGAGCCTGAGCAACTCTGGTTGGCTGGGCTCTACCCTGTGCAACCCCCTCCACTCCCCCAACTCACATGGGCGGTCCCCAAAGCAAAGCCATTGTTCTGGAGCTACTTCCTCTCAGACCAAAAATAAACAGGGAAGAGCTGGGGTCAGGGCTGACAGCAGCAGTTTTGTAGCTTGGACCCATGACACTACTTCCAGTTCTCACTTGGCAGTATGTGATCCCTGTTTTCACATCCCATTTCTGTTCCTGAGCCCCAAACCCCAACCTCAGCACCTCTTGACAGTCATGTGACCCCAGTAGCACAGGCCCACGGGACCAAGAGTTCTTACTACCTGGCACGTTCCTGTACCGGGGATACTACACGCGTGTAGCAGGGGCCCTGAGCTGGCTAACTCCAGAGGACACTTTTTAAAACTAAAGGGGGTACCAGCCTTCGGAGCGGGTCAGATCCAATCATCTGGTTGTCATGTCAGTTTACAGCATTGTTAGTTCCCCAGAGGGGCGCCGCCCCCGCCCCCCCCTTCCCTCTTGGTAACCCCAGGTATGCAGAGTCTAATAATTGCACTATGTGGGATTTCACGGCTGGGCCTTTTAAAAGCAGGTGGGCTGACTCCATCAATGCTCATTAAGCAACACCTTTTTGGTGCTTTTATCCTCTACAGCAGTGCCTTCACGCTACCACCAACCTTCCCTGGAGCCTGGCCTCCGATCCAAGCCGCCTCCTACACCCCGCCAAGGAATCCTGCCCTAGAAATAAGGATAATGGAAGTTGGGGGCCCCTTCTCCCTGCTAGCACAGCCCAAAACAGACCCCCACTTTCCACACATCCCCCACCCCCAGGCACGCACTCACACACCACCAGCAGCTGCTGCAAAAAAAAAAAAAAAGCTTTATTGTTTCCATTTGGTCCACGCTTGGAAAAGGGGCTTCAGGGTAGTTCAGATGCGGCCTCGTGCCGAGGAAAAGAGTAGTTCAGGCGGAGGCCTGAAGCTGGCAGGGGGATGCAGAGGGCCTTCCCAGGTCGCTGGGCTCCGGGGGCACCTAGTCGTCATGCTTGAGGGTGAGCCTCTCGAAGAGGTACTCGCCCAGCCCTGCCTGGGGGCTGGCCACCCTGCGGAGGTTGGTCAGGTGGTCGCCCAACTTCTTGATGAGCTTCACCTCCTCATCCAGGAAATGGTTCTCCAGGAAGTCACAGAGCTAAGGGAAGAAACGAGAGACGCGATAAATTCAGTGGGTGGCAGAAAGCAATTGTGCCAGCCAATGAAAGAGCAGAAGCCTTTGATTAAGCTTCCACCCCAGAGAAGGGCTGAGGAGGGACTGCAACCGATGAAGGGGGTACTTACATGGGGGTCCGTGTGGGTAGAAGCCACGGCGTGCAGATCCAGAAGAGCCTGGTTTAGGCTCTTCTCCAGGGCCAGGGCGGCTTCCATGGCTTCCACGCTTTTACCCCATTCATCTTGGGACGGCTTCTGTAGGAGAAAAAACTCGAAACTACTCGCACATCTAGCAGAGCCCTAAAACCTGTAGTTTCCAGAAGTCCCTGGGAATAAGGGACCAAGCCGACAAAGGTGTTTTCACTCCCAGTCCCCTACGACTTTGCCTCCCAGAAAAATACACTGCTGCTTGGCCGGCCAGCTTCTTGGAAAGCGTCTCCACTTCCAACCAAAAATAAACCTACTTGAGCCGGAACTCTATATCCCAAGAGCCTGCCCGGTGCCTAAACAGCAACGCTAAAGGTGCCCCGTGCGCAAGGCCTGCTGGGAGATGTAGTCAGCCGCCCACACGCTACGCTACCTACCTTCACGTCCTGGAAGAGGGCGCGGCCGCCACGCTTGTTTTGCAGCTTTAAGAGAATCTCAGCACCCTTGCGTTTCTCCTCAGACAGCTCGCGGAAGAAGTGTCCCACGCCTTCCAAGGCCACATCGTCGCGATCGAAAAAGAAGCCCTGCGGGAAAGAATGGACGAACAATGGTTAACGGAAACCGAGTTCAGGCGGGAGAACGCCGCCTTCTGCCTATCCAACAGGACAAAGAGGGCCTGCGCATGCGCAGAAGGCACGAGATGCGCAGTTGGGAAAAACATAGGCCCGGGGCTTCCCAGGGACCCTTACCAGAGAGAGGTAGGTGTAGGAGGCTCGCAGGTGCAGATTGACCAGGTGGTTGACGCCAGCCTCCGCGTCGGCAGAATAGTTCTGACGGATCTGGGAGCTCATAGCTGGTTGAGGATTTGGAGGTAACCACAAAATACGATGTTAGCGGTCCCTGGAAATGGGATGGCTGAGAAGATGGTCTGAGGGGTTGCGCCTTAGAGAGAAGGTTGGAAGGTGGGTCGAAGCTGGAGGTGGGTAAGTCGCCGGGTCTGTTCCGTCCAAACACTGTTGAAGCAAGAGACAGATCCACGGGACCGCCGGGGAGCTTGTGGAAAGGGGGGCCAGGGCGGCGTCTTTTATACCGTACGGCCCCTCGGAGAGGGGACGTTCAGGGCTAGCGATCGGCCAATCTGCGGTGGGGGAGGCGGGACTTGAGCCCGCGCGTGACCAATCCGGGACAGATGGGCGTCTCTGCCCCCCGCCCGAATGTGAGGGAGTCAGCGCGTGACTGTTGTGAAATGGGGAGGGGGGTGGAGTTGGTTTTTGGAGGTCTGTTTGGTCGCCGAGGTCCTGGGGCTTATTGTGCAAAGTCAGGGATTGTGGGTGGCTTTCTGGAAATAGGACATTTATTGGGGCACTGGGAGCCCTTGGGCAGTGATGATACTGCTTTTTTTGGGGTGTTTCAGGGAAGTGAGGATTATGGGCTTGTCTCTGAAAGCATGGACTTTTCTAGAACCCTGAAACTTCCTTAGAGGTGCAGGGATGCCTCCAGATGCCTCAGGTTTGCTTGTGGAAGATAGGGGGGTCTCCGAGTCTTTAGGAAGTTTGGAAGACCAGAAGTGAGTATTTATGGAAGCCCGGGGTTTACTCAAAAGCCAACGCTTCCTCCAGCTTTGAAAAACCCCTGAAGACTCCCATGTTTTCCATAGGACTGATAGGGCCCTGGGCTCCCTCACCATCAATGAGGAGCAAACGGAGATTGTGGCGCTTAGCAACAGCGCGGTGTCCCCCTCACCCTTCCTCGGTGAGCTAGGACTTTGCGAGTCAGAAAAACTGGGTACCCATGCTCCTACGAAGTGGCAACTGCCCACACGCTATGCTACCTACGTTCTGAACCTCAGTTTCCTAATCGGTACAGTGGGAATAACGCTTTACCCCCCTGCCAGGGGCAATTCCACTGAAGGAAGCTGGAGTTTCAGGAAATCTTCATTTGCAAGGCCTCTCCCAAGGCCTTGACCTGGGTTTATAGTCATATTTTTTTATAGAGAGAACTTTTTATTGTGATTTGAGTGAGTTTATAGAGCAGATTCGTTTTCCGTTCAATAATTAATGCATATTGGTTCACGTGGCATTGATTCCAGTCCCCACCAGGTAACAGCACTGATCCCGCTTCCACCCAGTGTTTCTTGTTTCAGTTTCCCCTTCTTTCCTGTCCCTTCTGAGCATTATCCCTGGGCCAGTGCTGCCCTTTCATCTCATACGGTTGGTTGGTTGGTTGAGGCAGTGTACCTCCCTGGTGGTAAAGTTCACCTTGTATCCCAGGGATGTGGCTTTAAGGTGAGTAAGAGCCACAGTCTTGGGGGTTCCCCCAGTCTGTCAGATTGGTAAGCCTGGTCTTTTTTTTT